TTCCCCTGGATTCCCGAACAATGCTGGAAAAGGGGGGGGGGAACACTCTTAACTCAGCAACAAAGGGCCCCAAGCAGGTGTTTCTTCCGCTTGTTTAGACATTTTTATCCCACCCTTGAGTGCTGCTAAGCTGCAGGAGGCCAACAAACTGTAAAATGGTCATAAAAGCAACCGGTGTGTGCCAAGAAGTTAAAAAAAAAATCAAGAAGAGAACAGGACAGGCAGTCATTCTGAGGAGTCTGTATCACCTCCGAGCCTCCAAGAACAGAAAGCTTATCTGGATCCATGCCAGAAATCATGGACCTACTCTGACTCTGGGGGCAGCCTTGTTCAGATACAACTGAGGAAAAACGGAGCCCGACGTTCTTTTTCCTCCAGCGGTGCTGGACTAAGGAGAGTTCCTAAGGTAGGCGCCCCATACCCTCAACCGATGAGTAGGAAGCCGTCCTGCACCCATCCTGTTCTTCCAAATGCATTACTAGAGGAGTAGATTTGGTAAAAGCACCTATTGGCACATGACCTTATGGACCTACAAGCTGCGTCTTGGCCCCAGATGTTGGGTTTTCAAAGTGAACTTAAACCTGGGGTAGCACACAGCTTGAAGCAGGAGGGTGCCCATGCCTTCATGGCCTGCCTTGAGCCTTCCACAGCCTTCTGGCTGGCTCTGTGCATGCAGAAGGCCACACCAGACAGGTGAGGCTTTAGCCTGATCCAGTCTGGGCACGGATCTCTTCTCATCTCCAAAGTAATGAATGCATCTTGAAGTTTTCAGAGGAGTGGAGAAACTAAAGAAAACTCTTCAGGTGAGGATTTGTTAATTTCCCTTCAAAATCCTCTACTCAGCCACTTTGTCACCATGTTCTCATGAAACATTCCACCTCTGCAGCTGCAAATGTTTTAATAAACTGCTGGGGACTAGACATGCTTCCTTGTGCAGTCAAATGCAGTTTATCCTTCTGCCATTCGTTGATGTGCCATTTGGCAGCTCTGTCCTCTGTGGCACCAGCAGGCGTGCCCTCAAAAGAAACCTAAAATACAGAAGAGCTAACCTGGCTGACACAGATGTCCCCACCAAACACGTGAAGTCAGGATCCTTTCATTCTAGTAAGCAGCTAGGTTAGCTCTGCTGTATTTGGGGTTTCTTCTTTACTTTTTTCTGACATGCCTTGATTTACCAAATCCTGAGTTCTCCTGACGGTGGAGGCTGCCCACCGCGATCCATGAGCAAAGCACGGGACAGCATTCCACCGTGCCTCAATGCTGGGCTGCCCTCTTCTGCTCTGCCTCTTGGAGTTTCTTTTCGTTCCCCTCGATTAAGCAAGACTTCCGAGCCCTCTTCTCATGACAGCTTCCTTGACAATCATGCTTGGGACCTGGCTAGACTTTGTAAGGTGCTTCCTGCCCTGTGAGATATATTCTATCGTGGTGGCTTTGAGCCGCCGCCACCGCCAAGCACTGCAGAGACATCCGATCCTCTTAAGGGGCTTAGCAGTTCCCCCAACTTTAGAGAGGTTCCCTCTTTTGAAGTTGCACAGACCTGAGCTGGCATTTCCTGACCCGCTCCCAGCTGCATATAAATTAAACTGGGTAGCCCCGGGGTCCCTGTTCCCATTCAGCTCACCAACACCCAACTCTCTCCCAGTCAAGATCTCTATATCTTTATGGGACAACGAACCAATCTTACCCAGCAGGTTGTTGCTCTCTGATCCATTGACGGGTGGAGTGTGCGAGGCAGCCGCATAGGAAGAACTGCTGGCGTTGCCCCGGTGGAAGCTGGACATGGGGGGAAGGCTGGTGCTGATGTCTGTGGGCGAGACGGAATGTGGGGGGTAGCTCTAGGAAAAAAGCAGAAATGGGCCATTAAGACCAGAGGGAAAGCACACGAGTGCTGGATACATTGACAAAGTCCCACACGACCCAGAAAGATCCCTGCCCGAGAACATCAGAACTTGCCTTGCTGCACCGGGGACTGTCGGAAAGCCTGGCCAGAGCAGCGCAAAGGCGCCTCGAGCCCTCCTTTCAGTGGGTTGGTGCCTTTGGGAAGCCCCTTTGCAGGACTGGAGTGCAACAACAACAACAAAAACCCCACCCCACCCCTCAATTCATGCTACCAAGCCACAAATAGCGACAGACAGAGTGCCTCTGGTCTTGGAGAATGGAACAGAAAGCCATCCAGACCAGCAAGAATGGAGCATTCCAAATATGAGCATATCCCCTATACAGCGGCCTTCATGTTTCCTGTTTTATTTTTAATCCCCTTCTTTGCACTGTGTTTGCCTTTCAAAAACACATCAGTCATTTTTGAAAAGTATTTGCAAGGAGCTTCCTGCTTGAACTCAAATGTCTCTTCCTGGCGAGTCCCAGCTGGCACAGATGTCCTCACCAGACATGTGAAGTCAGGATCCTTTCATTCTAGTAAGCGGTCAGGCAGCACTTTCGTACCTGGAATGTCACCTGCTATTCTCTGTTCAACCATCCAGGCTAGAGAAAGCGCTTCAACTGCCTGCTCAGGACCTCACCTCCCTCAGCATATGGTGCTCCTGACAAGCTGGACTGTTTCGCCCTGGACTCCCCCCCAAGTGCCAGGCAGCATCAACCTCAATCGATAAAGATCAGTAAGTACATAAACTCTCGGGGGGGAGGGGGATGGATATCACTGCCTGTGCCTCTCTGTTGCGAAAACCTTTGGGAGATTCTCAACCACAGCTTTCCTACCTTTTAAAACCCCAAATCACAGTTTCCACAACCATTCCACCAGCAGGACCTCCAACATGAGGAAGTGTGAGGAAAGCAAACATAAACTTACAGCTCAATAAAGAAAACTTTCCAGGGAGAAGGAAGAGCCTTCTTTAACTATTTTCTTTCTCATTCTTTTAAACAGAAACAGACAAAGTTCCAATCAGTGTTGTTAATATGTGAGTCAGTCCCCCTTTGACTCTTCCGGCGGATTAAAATGGATACCTCCTGATCACATTTGGTTATCAGAGACTGACGTTTTAGTGGATTAATCTACCAATTAAGCTGATTAAAGGCTGAAACTCTCCTTTATCTCCACTCAGTTTCCCCTGAGCCAGCAGCCACCAGGCTCCCTGGGAGAGCAGGGATCCACCGCTGAGTGCCCTCTGCCCCAAAGGGGAACCGACGCCACATTGGCCTTACCAAGCGTTCGTGTGAGTGCCGACTGCCAAAACTGCCCGAGTGGGAGATGTGGGAGGAACTTTCCAGCAATCCACCATAGCCAGGCTGACTCATTCCATTGGAAGGGCTCCAAAGTTCAGAAGCACTGTGGGTCCCATCTTGGTTTTTAAATAGAAAGGAAAGCGAGAAGGAAAGGAACTTAAATGGCATATCCTCTCACCCATAAAGGAGATAATACTTAAAAACAGCAGCAACAGCCAAAGATTACAATTTCATTTGACTTCTCCTGTTGGGTATCCTTTGTAACCTCTCCCTACAGTTTTGTTACTGCAGTGATGCAGAGTTTGGGGCTTTTGTTTTAAAGACTCTCTTCAACCACGCATCCCAGCCATGGCTGAGAAAACATCAGGCGTCTCTAATTCCACACCCAAGGCGGAGACTGAGATGGCACCGCAGTACAAAGCATATCCTTGGTACACTGAGGGCCACAGGCTCAGTTCTTGCGCTTCCCATTTCAAAAGGCCCTAAAGGAACAGACGACGGCAGGAAAGGATGAGATGGCCAAGATGCCTGAACACCTCCCTGCGTTCCCAAGGCTACAGAACGGTGGCAGCTGGGCCCCCCCACGAGGATAAGGGAGAGGGAGGGGCCCATCACCAGACGGATGCCCTGAGGTCCCAAAGCTGATGCTGTTGATTTCCTGGAGCACAGGACATCCACCGCCACAGGGGGCATCTCTCACAGATATATCGGGAAACGGGCTGGTCACCCCACAGGAGCCCAGCCTTGCTCACACAGCCCGGCTGCCGCAGGAAAAGGCGCAACGGAGGTACCTATTTCCGGGCCACTCTACCCACAGAACATTGGCCACACGGTCTGTTTCAGTGGGTCTTGCTGAATTAAAAAAACAGAAACCTTTCCAACGGGCGGGCTGGGAAGGCGAGAGCTGCAGCCGCTGTTTGCCCCGGTTCTTTTCGCAACGGCTCCCTTGGCTCTGGCAGGGGTTTTGGGGCCGCGGCTCCACCGCTTGGGAGTGTTTTGCTGGGAGGCAGAGTCACCCTTTTGTGAGTCAACCAATAAAGCCGGCCGAGCTGAGCTCTCTGAGGGAAGGAAAGGGGGGTTCCGCTGCCCCCCCCGTTCCACCGCCTTCCTTAGCTGCTCTGCAGAAGGGGACCCAGCGGGCGACATGTCGGCACTACAGGTGCTCGGTTGGCCCCCCTCCGCTCCCCTCACGGTTGCTAGGGGAAAGATCCGTGGGCGATGTTGCTATGGTATTTGTGGGAGTGGCAGTCCCAGCTAATGAGCGTTGTTGCTGTTGTTGTTGTTATTCTTGCCATGATGTCTGCTGAGCTAGAGCCGACAGATGAGGCTGGCTCGGCCACCACAGGCAGGAGGAGCCTCGCCCACAGGCGGCCCTGGCTGGCGGCCGAGAGACTGGTCAGCCAAAGCAAGGGGGTCTGCAATCTGCTGCCGCAAAGAGATGCTGCTCTGGAGAGACAGCCAGTAACTTGAGTTCCACAAGACTCATTCAATTCAAGGAGACCTGAATCTTCAGATTGCTATTAAGAAAAATACACCCCAGCCTTCCTCTCAATTCTGAACTCAGGAGGATACAGTTAGCTCACAATTAGCAGCACAATTCCGTTAAGGGATAAAAGGCATCTCATTGTCCTAACGCTGATCATTTTTTGGATTAGCTTGCTCTTGTTTTGTAACTGGTCCTCAGGAGTAAGCGTGGCCTTTATTTCCAAATCTGACTGGAGGGAAAGCAATGTTAAGCTCCTGAAACTCTTCGCTCTTGACAGAGACTTTGACCCTGAGACCATGGTCTTGTTTCAGCTGCAATGTTGGTTTAAAAAATTTGCTCGGTCAGCAACAGTTCACTTACCTTGCAAAAAGAAAGTGCTAGCAAACATACTGCTTGGAGGTTTAGGAGATGGGTAACTTGGAGATTCTCTGTTGAAGTCATCTGAACTAGGAGATGGCGCATAGACCTAAACCCATGGGAAAGAAGGGGGGGGGAAGAGAAATATGAAGAAGCTGAATGTCACAAGAAAGGTCCAGACCAAAGCATGGGGAGCACAGAATGAAAGGAGCCCATCAGGAGCTCTGAGCCCAAAACGTAAGCCCCCATCCCCGGCTGACCATGCTTTTTTCCAAGAACTGTGGGCTTCAGCAATTTAAATGGTCCTGAACTGCTCCCCCCTCCCCTAGAGTGGCTCATTTAAGCAGGGACCCCATTAAAATACAAGAGCAGACTCTGCTAAGTAAGCACAAAACCTCACACAACCTTATTCTTCCAAATACTGTATAAGCAATTACTGGAATTTAGAAAAAGATGGGAAGGAAAAGAGAAGGAAAAAAATAACTGGCAGGCACTCTTCAAAAAGGCTGGGCTAAAACCAGCTCTCTTTCGTTTGGTTGCTGACACTGCAGCCGGGCCAAGCCTCAGGTGATCACAGAACATACCCCAATGACTACAAACACCCAGCAGGCAAGACAGGCCAAGCCAGAGGCTCTTTGACACACTGCTTACCCAGAATATCAGCAGGCAAGCTTTTCAGACCTGGAAGGGCTCCCCTACCCTTGAAAAGGAGATATTAAACATAGCACTGCTTTCCTTGTTTGGTACAAATGTGATTGATCAGCTACATTATTTTAGAATGAACCAAATACCGCTTGGCATAATTTCCAGGTACAGAGTCTCCCGCACAGCCGCTTGTCCATGTTGTCAAATTCAATGTAAACAGCATTTTTAAAAACCAAATGCAGCACAGTATTGCTCTTATTATCCACCTTTCAAATTAATTTTCCAAGGGCAGCTGGGAGTAGATGGGAACACTTTGAACCTAAATCACACACAGTTATACATTTTTCCTCACATCAGAATATTTCAACCCTCTTGTGTTTTTAATCCAACCCTGCAGACCACGGGTAGCAAATCTCTCCTTCTGAGCTACACAAGCAGCCTCCTACCCCCACTGGTTTATGGTGGCGGTTGGCACTCTGGCGGGCAGGTTGGGGGAGTCAACCGCACTCTTTGAGGACCTGAAGAGCTGCGACATGGAACACTTGTTCTCTGGTCCTCAAAGGGTCGAGATGTATTTAGGAGCTTAAATGAGAAGAGGGTGAAGTGCAGGAATCTCAACCAAACACTGGCGTGAGAGGGTTTTTCCTTGTTAGGAGTTGGGGGGGGGGGCTGGCCACCAGCCGGTCTGCCAGGAAGCATTCACTCATTCTCTCTTGCAAGGAATAAGGGGGGGCTTATGAAATCCACACAGCCAAACTCTACCCCAGGGTTCTAGAGCACTCCGTGTGCGCTTCACCCAAAACGCTTTATAAGATTTTCACCTCCAGCCTGCTAAATCCGGGGGGGGGGGG